CTGGGCGGCAGGCGAGGGCTGGCGGAGGGAGGAGACGTGGCTGCAAGGGGGAGGCGGAAGGGGAGGCGCAGGCTCTCGGCCCATCGCTCGTCCTCCCCCTCCGCCTCCTCCGCCCCGTCCTCCGCCTCCTCCGCCCCCTCCTCCGCCTCCTCCTCCTCCTCCGCCTGCTCCTCCTCCTCATTCTCCATTCCCTTCCTTATAGATAACTCGTATCTGTCGCACCCCGAGGCCGGTCGAAAGGGCGGGCTGGGCGTTTCGCATTAGACTCCCTCACCATGTGTGATCCTGAAGCTTGACATTCTCAACAGTTGCACGGATATAATGAGGTCCGTTTTCGAAATGTGGTTCTCGCCTTAGCGCCGCGCACTCTCGTCCAAACAGCTTGCAACGGTTTCAGGGATTAGCGTGGTTGACGTTCCAGACATGGTCTTTTGCCCATGTGAGAACGTCAGGGCGCAATAGTCACGTTGATTCGCGGTGTTGAAGTCACAGGAAGAGTGTTCGGGCACGACGGGAACGGTGATTCGCGGCGCTGACGTCCCAGGAACACCGCTCTGGCACAATTTCCGATGTTTCAACGGTTCGTGGAGGGAGGGTTTGTTGCAATATCGTTGGTGAGTCTTGGGTTTACACTGGTCCTCCTCCTCCTCCTCCTCCTCCTTGGAATGGACTTTTACCTTGCCCACCCCGGGCGTGAAGTGGCCGATTGTCTCGGCAACGAGTGGACCGACTTCTTCGCGAAGATCGGGGCCCAGGCTCACCAAGTTCCAGCTACGCTTTCGGACTTGTTCAAAATCAAGATGAACGACGCCAAGGCGGAGGCCCAGCTCGTGGCCTGGATGATGGCGGCCGTGGGCACGCACTCTGAGCATGCCAAGGCCAGGGTTCCGCGCTGCGTGAGGACTCCTGCGGCGCCTGGCCCTGTACAGCTGGTCCAGGCCCGCCACCAGCTGTCTCGCAGAGGGGCTGCCTGGGTCTGTGCGAACTGCACGGCCTCGGCGAGCTCCGATGCCGCTCTGGCCCGACTGGAGCGCACAGCCTGCGCGCCCACGCACTTGCAGGCTCCCATGGCGCCCGCGAGAGCGAGACTCTCCTTCTCCTCGTCCTCGGCTCCCCTCCCTTTGGCTGGTGAAGAAGCTCTCACCATAGCGTTGAGGGCGGCCGACCGTTTCTTGGGACCTGCGTCTCGAGTTGGCCATCAGGCTCTAATATCAAAGCAGCAGACATCGTCCACGTCTTGAGTCAGTTACTGCACCTCATTCCTGGGTTGGCCATCAGGGATCCACTTGGCCCGAGGATGCCAGAACCTGGACTCCCGCGGCGCCCTCTGGGGACACGGCCACTGCCGGGGCCCAGGTGCCGACCGTGTCTGGTGGTGTCGGCGGGCCGTTTGAGCTCATCCGTGGCTACCGTACAGTCACGGAGGGCCCATTCGCGTTATGTCTGAAGTGTAGAGGATCTGCCTCCACCAAGCAATCCCCTTGCCATAACCAGTCCTCCTTCTTGTGTGTATTGAACCTTCGATAGGGAGGGGTATCGGCATAGTGGGGAAACATTGGCCCCTAACCGCCCAATGATCGCCGATATCCCCTGTGTTACTGGCTGGTTGTACAGGCCCTCTTACCTGGGAGCCCAGTCGTGCCCGCACGACGGCCTTAAGAAATCTTGAGGCCATGTGCCACCCACGGACGGGCGTCCCCCTAAGCGGCGGCACCCAGAGCGGCTCAGGGCCGCCGCCTTTTCATCATTTCGTGGCCTCCCTCGTTAGTTTCGGCTTTCGACGGAGTCATCGGAGCCTCGGGTCCTCCCTCCTCCTCCTCCTCCTCCTCCTCCTCCTCCTCCTCCTCCTCCCCCTCCCCTCCTCCTCCTCCTCCTCCTCCTCCGCCTCCTCCTCCCTCCTCCTCCTCCTCCTCCTCCTCCTCCTCCTCCTCCTCCTCCTCCTCCTCCTCCTCCTCCTCCTCCTCCTCCTCCTCCTCCTCCTCCTCCTCCCCACCTCCTCGTCCCACATGAGCGACGAAGAAAATGGCCTTACGCGAAATGGCATAGCGACCCTACGCCGCAGCTTACGCGGGAAGAGCACGCCACGCTACGCCGAAAAACGAGGGCACCTACGCGCAACCTCACGCAGGCAGCTTACGCGCACAGTCGGATCGGTTTCCTGCGTCGCTCACATGAAAATATGTTTTGCCTTGCAATGCCAGACCCCCTGAGATCTGGGCCAGTCTCGTTCAGGGCCCCGTCCCAGGAGGCCGGCTCGCAGGTCGTAGTGGGTTCGTGCTGTACCTCCGTTGGCGCGCGCAGTGTGCCGCAACGCTGATCGAGAGCGCATGCTGAGCATAAGAAACGCTCACCTTAGTAGGATACCCCTCTCGCAAAGTGGTCCGCTCAACTCTTCCTCCCTCCTTGTGGCCAGCGAGGAGCAAAGCTGAAATGGTGCAATGGGGCTCTGGCACCGGTGGCCCCTGTGGGGGGAGGTGCTCGCTGGTGTGCCCCGCCCAAATGACGGACGGCAGGTCAGGGTCGTGAATGAGGCCAGATCTGGTTACCGCTCGGGAAGGAGGAAGAGTGAGGCGACGAAAAAGCTGTATTCTCTCTGGACGGAGCTGCCTAGAGGCCCGCGGGTGTCACCAGAGGCGACCCAGAGGTCGATTGAAGGAGACGGACGCAGAGGGAAGAGGTGGAAAGAAAGCTCGGCCTTCATCCCCTCCTCCTCCACCTATTACTGGATGTGTTATCCTCATCCTCCTCCTTCTCCTCCACATCCTTCTCCTCTTCCTCCTCCTCCTCCTACTCCTCCTCGTCATCGTCATCACCATCGTCATCGTCATCGTCCTCCTCCTCAACCTCTGGCATCCTCCAGGCGTCCCCCCCCTTCCTCGACTTGCCACTGGACTTGCTCCTCGACCTTCTGGGCCCTCCTCCTCCTCCTCCTCGTCCTCCTCCTCCACCTCATCTACCTCATCCTCCTCATCCTCCTCCTCCTCCTCCTTCTGCTCCTCCTCCTCCTCATCATCACCATAATCATCATCATAATCATCACCACCACCACCACCACCACCACCACCACCACCATCATCATCATCATCATCATCATCATCATCGTCATCATCATCATCATCGTCATCATCATCATCATCATCATCATCAGCATCAGCATCAGCATCAGCATCAGCATCATCATCATCATCAGCATCATCATCATCATCGTCATCGTCATCGTCATCATCATCATCATCAGCATCATCAGCATCAGCATCAGCATCAGCATCAGCATCAGCATCATCATCATCATCAGCATCCGCATCAGCATCAGCATCAGCATCAGCATCAGCATCAACATCAGCATCATCATCATCATCATCATCAGCATCATCATCATCATCATCATCAGCATCATCATCATCATCATCATCATCAACAGCATCATCAGCATCATCATCATCATCATCAGCATCATCAGCATCATCAGCATCATCAGCATCATCAGCATCATCAGCATCATCAGCATCATCATCATCATCATCATCATCATCATCATCATCATCAAAAATCATCAACATCATCATCATCATCATCATCGTTAAGCGAAGGCACGCGCGCACTAAACGGAGAAGGAGGAAGAGGAGGAGGAAGGAGGACGAGGACGGGAGAAGGACAATGATGAAATCTTTCAATGGCAAAGCGGCCACGCGCACCACCCTGATGGCGCGGGTCCGGCGGGACGCCGCGCCGCCCGCGCACGCGCACAGTGGCGCGCGCGCGTTCTGGCACGCCCTGCTGCCGCACGGCGCGAGAGCCGAGCGGAGCTGGGGACACAGGGAGCAAAGCGGGGCGGGTGGGCCCCCGAGTCCTGGCTCGATCTCGAGCCAACGACTACGGACCCAAAATGGCTAAGGCAAAGCCCCCGCTTCCCTACGCTTAACCTGCAGTCTACCCACAAAACAGACTATACAAGTTAAGCGAAGGCACGCGCGCACTAAACGGAGAAGGAGGAAGAGGAGGAGGAAGGAGGACGAGGACGGGAGAAGGACAATGATGAAATCTTTCAATGGCAAAGCGGCCACGCGCACCACCCTGATGGCGCGGGTCCGGCGGGACGCCGCGCCGCCCGCGCACGCGCACAGTGGCGCGCGCGCGTTCTGGCACGCCCTGCTGCCGCACGGCCAAAACCAAAAGAACGCAGCCGCGCGCGGGCGAAAGGAGCCCGGCGCGCGCGACCACTGGCCTGCAAGCCCGAGACCTTCCTGGAGCGGGCGCCAGGCCGCCCCGGCTGGGCAGCGCCCCGCCGGCGGCGTGCAACGCGCGCCCGAGCTGGCCCCCACGGCCTCGCCCAGGCAGGGGGGGGCTAAACGCTCTCCAGGGCCGCGCGACGCCGGCCCGCCAGCGCGGAATCGCGCACGCGAAAAGCGCTAGCCGCGCGCGTCGCGCAGGACGCGACTCAGCACACGCAAGAACGGGCGCGCGCATGCGAAGGCGCACGCGCGAGCTGGAGGTGCAAGCTGGCTGCAGCCCAGTGGACGCCACGTGGCCCGAGCAGCCCGTCGCTCCCCCCCGGTCCTCCTCCTTCTAATCCTCGTCGTCGGGCGGCTCCTCTGTGGCGGACAGCACGCGGCCCTCGATGCCAGTGCTGCCGGCGAACATGCCAACGTAGGTCGATCCGCTCGCCCCCGTCGTCGCGCCCTTCGTCGGCGCGCCAGTCGCCGCCGCTGTCAGCACCGTGGTCGCCGTGGCGGCCAGAGCCGCTGTCGACGCCGATGTCGGCGCGACCGTCGGCGCCGCTGTCGGGGCAGCCGTCGGTGTCGTGACCAGTTCAGCCATCGGCGAACCGAACCGTGCATCTGCAGGTGCAGCGGCTAGCGCAACCGTCGTCGACGCTGTCCAGGCGGTTGTCTGTGCCGCGGCCAGGGCAACAGACAGACGACCCATCGGCGCTGCCGTTGGTGCAGCAATCGGCGAAGCCGTAGGCGACGAAGCCGGCGCAGCCGCCGCCGCCGCTGTAG